CACTTGGTTTTCGTTCAATAAAGTGAGACACATTGTAAAACACGTATGCGAATGTCGGTATTCGTGACTCGAGAATACTACCCCAGGGATACAAATTCAGGATACGCAGAAGACTGCTGTTTTATTATAGGCGGTTGTCATATATTGTATTATCCGAGTTGCACAGTGTTGCCGCGTTTGAGAATCCACATCGGATGCATTTTTTACATCTCGAGCATTTTTTTATCCACATCGGACACATCTGTCCCATTACATTTACGTATACTGAATCACGTGATCAAAGATTTTTTACATCTCAGATGCATCGGATGTGGATTCTCAAACGCGGCATGTATAAACTGAAACATTGAGATCAAAAGTGCCGACGCAGAGTGAGCGATCTGATTCTTTAGCTGTAAACTGTGTCACAGGGTTCAAAATGGCCGCGCCCTATGTTGGGCGTGTCGGACCTCTCTCTTGCCTCGTATAGTAATCAAAGTATGTGCCGTTAATATAATATAATATACTTTGGTATTAAGTTCCCTTGCTTTGGCACATACGAAAACTCATTCAGTTTCGCTTCTTCGGTAGGTATTCTTTGACTCTGCCTTTGATTTTGCCCACTAAGGAGAAAGTCATCCTTATTAGGACTCTTCAGCAATAAATGAAAATTCTCGACTCCAGTCTCTAATGGAGTGATTAGGACACACATTTCGATCGAACTCAATTAAGGCGGGTCGAGCATGAGTAGATGCGATAGTGGTATCGCCATCTATACTTAGTAAGCAGAATCAAATAACATCTAGTGGATATCCACGATGGTTTGCGTTCGCGCCTAGACTGCTTTGATATATTTAGTGGATGTTCATGGGATATTGAATACACCTTAAAAAAATTAATTTTAAATATCTGAACGGTACTATTAGCCACAATGGCGAGCACAATGGCGTAATTTTTTAATAATTTGCTATATAATTACTATTATTTATAGCTATATCAAGCTAGCGGGCACTCTGTGGCGGCACCATACAAGACCTGGTGGGTTTTTTGTAGCCTTTTTGTAGCTTTTTTGTTACGCTATTTGCGAATTTGTAGCTTTGCCCAGGTCCGAAAAAACAGCGGATCCGCTAGCTTGAATTTCCATAAATTCCATAGTAGCGGCACAGATTCAGACCCAGCCGGTTTTTCGTAACTTTTTTGTAGCTTTTTTGTTACGCTAGTCTCCCTTTTGTAGCTTGTACTGAACCTGAGAAAAGCGCGGATCCGCTAGCTTAGCGGATATTTTTAGCGGCACCAGCTCGGACCAGGCTCATTTTTTGTAACTTTTTTGTAGCTTTTTTGTTACACCTGTCTCCATTTCGTTGCGAGGCCTGAACGTGAGTAATAATCGTTTCTCCATGAGAGTGAGAAAAGTGCGTTAATTAAAATCAAGTTTCAGCCTCTACAACTCGATAGTGTGACAATTTGTTGATAGATAGCACCAGTATTGCATTTCACGAATTATGGCCATCTTCCATCCAATATATTTTTGAGAAATTTAAATATAATCTCAAAATCGGACATATTCAATGGTATGTATATTAATTATTTGTTCGATATTAATGTAAAATACATATTGACAAGATTATTAAAATAATTGTATGCCGGACGCCACTATTTTCGGTTATTTTTACTGCTAACTTCACACCGGTGGTAATAGCTGCCAAGCAATTACCTATTCTCACTATATATACATGGTGTTCCATCTCAAACGAGCCACCCCGTATAGTAGTATCCCGTAGAAATGGGCCATGTTCACATGTGAGATATGCTGTTTTATAAATTATATTGTAATAGTTAGTCGCTATACAAGTTATTCTAAATAATCAGTTCGTTAAAAAAGCCAAAAGTTTTTAAATTAAGCCCAATTGAAATTTAAAATTTGAAATGTATACGTCATCGGGAATAGACCAATCAGCTTGCGTCGAAGTTTTTTTTTGTTATACAAAACCAAGCCAACGAACAAACCGACACACAGAAGGCGAGTTCGGTTAGTCAGGGGCAGGAGCGGGACAAAAGCGGAGTTATTTAGGGTACTTTTAAATGACATTTAAACGTGTTAAACTGTCACTAATTGGACTAAACCACATACTTTTAAAGAGGTCTGACACGCCCAACATAGGGCGCGGCCATTTTGACTCTTTTACTACTATATTAGGCAACACATATTTATCCAAAATGTTAAACTGGTAGCCTACCTCTTGATATTTTGAGATTTCAAGTGAAGGTAACAAATGTACTAGAAAAAACGTTTATTTATTTTAAATAATATACAAGAAACTTCTTTAAAGTAAAGTTGTAATTTCGAGTACATTTTGAAATAAAGGTGAGTAATTATCCTTCCTCCATGGAGGTGAGTGGTTTTAAATTATTTCTAAAGCTGTGCATATGATTTTACCTTAATATTATGATATTTTTTGCCATTTTATTTTTGTAATATAATAAAAATATTTGAGGCTAAACAATCTAATATTACCTATATTTTGCATTTTTTCAGCTGTAAATATGGTACGAAACTATAAAGTAATAACAAAGAAATGTAAGAAAAAAGAAGTTCTAAAAGATATTACCAGAGGAATAAGTATATTCTTGCAGGCAAACTGCAACAATTTATATAAAAAGGACACTTTTATTTATACCCTCTAGAAGTTCAAGCAAAGAAATTATGAAAATTCAGGAAAGGAAATCGAACGTAAAAAAATCAAAATATGGTAGTAAAGAACTTTTGGTTGAGTATCTACAAATCACTATGGTTTAAACTATTCTCAAGTGATATCTTTAGGATACAAGTTATGCCAAATATATAATATACAGGCAGGATGTTCTTACTCTACTTTTGAGAACTTTCTCAGAATAAGGCAACGAGAGCTATTTTAGGATGTAGCAGATATATAGCATTCAGCTTATGTTGACTACGTTGAACTGGTTGAATATGGGACAGTTTCTATGTGCAGGCAATGACCTTTATTTTTTAAATAGTAATTAATGTATTGAATTGTCAACTTACTCCTATTTCTTACATACATCAGTACCATACAAGAGCTGCGAATTCTATTAATTTTTGTGTTATAACAAGTAGGAAGGCAGAGTTTAAATTAATCAATTATCTCATGATATAAACTCCCTTTAAAAAGCTAAATTATTTTAACAGTAACTAGTTAAAACTTTCAGCTAAGTCCTCTTGTGTGTTTGTTATTTTGTCATCGCTTATTTATTTATTATGTATTTATTTTCAAATACTCTCTACTTTTGTACATTTATGTAGGTATTTTCTTATTTTTTGTATGAATTAAATATAATCTAATGATCCATATATGAATGGTTTTTTTTATGTTTCTAAAAAGGTTTTTAATCTTTGTGATGTAGGTATACAGAACACAGTGAGATGATGCAGTCCCTATAGTTATATTATTTAAATGTTTATATATAATTGACAAATAAACATTATTATTAGATAGCTACTTTATTTTGAAAATTAAATATTTTGAGTTTATTACCAAATTAAGTATTAAGTAGGTAATATTTTTGTTTTTTTTTACTTGAAAATAGGGGGTTGCTGGTTCAAGCCTCAAATATACGTCAAAAGATGTCCCCCAAAGAAAATCATCCGACGTGTTTCGGGAAATTTTTCCAATTACTATGGGATAAGAAATATATGGGGTGGCTCGTCTGAGATGGACCACACTGTATAGTTGTGATCCGACAGAATTAAACACTGGTCCATAAATACTGCAAAACGATTGGTTAAGGAAATCATTCAAAAAAGATGTAAGAATATTCTTGATTCAACAAAAGTATAAATACATAAACAACACTAAAAAACATTTAAAAACAAATGTCCGATTTTGAGATTATATCAATGAAGTGGAGAGGGGTAGAATGATAACTGTCAATGAAAAAGTCTGGACACACAATTTCGTTTTGCCCATTTTGTAAACAAAATTCAGGGACGGTTTAACAACATTTTGTGCAACAATTATAAAATAGTGCATCGAAAAATAATTAACAAGTATAATTTAATACTAAATCGGAATAAAAGCATAAAAAATCATAAATATAAGCAAGATAACAAAGAATTGACGCCAAAAAATCTTACAACAGCCAAAACACAAACAAAAAACAGAGCTGAACATGAACATAATCGCTGAATAAAGTCGATCCTGGAATTTGTTTACAGTTCTTTAGGGCAACCTCTCCTTGTCATTTACGTGTGTAAGAGTGGAAGGCTGAATCACGCATAATTTCTATACACTCGTGATGGATGCGCAGACGGTACCTTATCGTTCTACCCTCTCTACTTCTTTGGATTATATCTAAATTTCTCAAAAATATATTGGATGGAAGATGGCCATAATTCGTGAAATGCAATACTGGTGCCATCTATCAACAAATAGTCACACTATCGAGTTGCACATATTACTTGTAGAGGCTGAAACTTGATTTTAATTAACGCACTTTTCTCTCACGCTCATGGAGAAACGATTATTACTCACGTTCAGGCCTCGCAACGAAATGGAGACGGGCGTAACAAAAAAGCTACAAAAAAGTTACAAAAAATGAGCCTGGTCCGAGCTGGTGCCGCTAAAAATATCTGCTAAGCTAGCGGATCCGCGCTTTTCTCAGGTTCAGTACAAGCTACAAAAGGGAGACTAGCGTAACAAAAAAGCTACAAAAAAGTTACGAAAAACCAGCTGGGTCTGAATCTGTGCCGCTACTATGGAATTTATGGAAATTCAAGCTAGCGGATCCGCTGTTTTTTCGGACCTGGGCAAAGCTACAAATTCGCAAATAGCGTAACAAAAAAGCTACAAAAAGCTACAAAAAACCCACCAGGTCTTGTATGGTGCCGCCACAGAGTGCCCGCTAGCTTGATAGAGCCGCAAAAATAAACGTTCCGACGAATTTTATCCGGACGATTGAAAATTTGACGCTCTCCATTTCTGAACGCACCCCTGTTAATAAGACAGATGACAGTTTTAATAGTCAACTGTAACTGAACTGACATTTAAAATTGGATTCGCGATTTGAATTTTGGAGTGCAAAGTTTTTTTTTCGTTTAGTTATGGATCCAGGTAAAGGCTTTAATACTAACATTTTCTTTGTTAAATTAACCCTTCTCTTCCTATAATTTAAAAGAAATTGTTTTCTCTTGGTTTTCTTTAATATAATATAATTAAACTTAAAAAAAAAAGTAAAGTAAAAGGTAGTTAGATGGGAGATAACTCAGCGGGGTCGGGCCCCCCTAGTGAAATGAGTTTGATTAATAGTGATAGCAATCTTGATATTTCAGATGTGGATATGGATGGCTCAAAGCCGGCAATTGTTGATAATGTAAATAATTATGTAGAAAATGAGGTTGTAAAAAATGTCACAAAAAATTCTGACAAAAAACGTCTAAATAGAGATAATTATACATACCTAGATAAAGGCCCATATGAAGTATACATTGAAGCCACTCTTGATAATAAAAATATAGGTAATTATAATTATTTAGCTATTGCTCGTGAACTTTATGACCTCCAGGTAAATAATATTAAAAAGATAAATAAAAAAGGGAAAAATAGATTTGGGGTAGTATTTTCGGGTTTTAAAGAGGCAAATAATGTTTTAAGTAATGAGGAATTAAAAGCAAAAGGGTATGCTCTGTTCATCCCTTCAAAAAATGTGTCATGTAAGGGTATAGTTAAATTTATTGATAAATCATTCTCTGATGATATGTTGCTTAGATATTCTGAAACTGATACTGCTAACATCAAAGTAAGTGAAGTTATGAGATTTATGAGGAAGGTCAACCCGCAGGGAGGGGGTGACGGTGAACTGGGGGCGGACTCGAAGGTCAACTTGGTGCCAACGGGGACGGTTCGATTTACCTTTACAGGTACCTACCTGCCTCGCAGTGTAAAAATATGCGGTATAGAACACAGGGTATTACCATACATTATGCCTGTTTTTCAATGTTATAATTGTTTAAATTATGGTCATATTAAAAAAATGTGAAAAACTAAGGCGATTAAATGTTTGAAATGTGGAGATGTCCATGAACAAGGGAAGTTTTGCATAATGAAGTGTGCATTGTAAGTCGCTTGAACATACGAGTACATATAAGATGTGTCCTGAACGTAAACGTCAAAACTTGATTAGAGTAGCCAAGTCTTTAGATAATATCTCCTTTTTTGAAGCATCAGAAAAATTCCCCAGAATGTCAAATAATGATAATGAATTTTCACGTCACTCTAGGGATTTTCCTCCCTTACCAAGTATTGAGTCCCCAGAGGACAATATTATTCCCATCAGTAGTAGAAGGGCAACCCACGTACAACATACCCCCTTAAGAAATTCCTTTTCTCAAGTTACTGGGAAAAAAAGGAAAGGTGAAAACCGAATTGGTTATGATGCAAAGGCTCATAATAAATTTTTAATAAGCCCAAGTGATAGATCACACTGTTCTACTGAGACATACTATATTCCCCCTTCAGTAGATGAAGAGGAGGTCTATTCATGTGATTCAGGGAGAACCAACAGAAATGAGAGTGAATCTCATATGTTAAATGATATAATGAATATAGCTAGTAAATTAAACAAATATGATAGAGAACATGTTCTCAAGTTTATGGATCAGTTAGTTAGAATATCAGTTCCTGATGTTTTTAAATTAGGTAAGAACGTCTCAAATCAAGGGAAGTGACCTAGATAGAATAGGCTATAATGTTAATAATTCTTGTAATAATAATAATAGTAATATGAATTTGAAAGGTAAAAATAATTTAGACTAATTTTACTAAACATAAATTAAAAATTTTCCAATGGAATATCCGAAGTTTAAAATCCAACTATGATCAGTTAAAGTATTTTCTAGAAGAAATTAATCCAGATGTCTTATTATTGAATGAAACTTGGCCAAATAACACATATTATTTTAAAATAAAAAACTATAGTACATATAGACAAGATAGAATTGATGGATATGGGGGTATTATTACATTGATTAAAAATAAAATTGACCACCAGTTTATTAATGAAGTAAATTTTTTAACACCCATGCAGACATTAACAATCAAAATTAACTCATTGAATTTACATGTAATTAATGTCTATAACCCATCAGGTAATAGAATTAATATCAATCACTTTTAAATAATACACCAAAACCTTTTATTATAATGGGGGATATTAATGCCCATGATCAACTTTGGGGTTGTCACAATTGTGACTATAATGGTAAAATTATTAAAGAATATCTGGTAGAGGAGGGTTTAATTATAATGAATGATGGGAGTCCAACAAGAGTTGGGCTACTGGGACAACATGAATCGGCAGTAGATCTAACAATAGTTACTAAGGAGCTAGGATTAGAATGTCTCTGGTATGTTCATAATGACTTGGGTGGTAGTGATCATTATCCAACTATATGTGAGATATTTAATAATAAGGATATGGTTTATACAGTTAGGAAAAGGAATTTTAAAAAATCAGAATGGAATGGCTTTAGTAAGGATATAGAAGTTTCATTCAATTCGTTTAGTGGGGATTTGGACTATATAAATTGGTATGAGTTAGTAGACAGGTCAGCAGAAAAGTACATTCCTTATTTTAGCAACAATGGAAAATGTAAATACAATGTTTGGTGGGATAAGGAGTGTTCGGATTTAGCTGCTAGAAGAAGGCAGGCAATACAAAAATATAAATTGGAAATGAATACAGTAAATTATATTGAACTTAAAAGGGTTCAAGCTCTTGTTAAGCGAACATTTAAAATTAAAAAGAAAACATCTTTCAGAGAATTTTGTGGGACACTAAACAGAGATACTCCAATTAAAAAAGTTTGGAAAGTAGTTAAGCGCTTTAAGACCTACATGACTAACAATAATATAAGCTTCCCAAATAAAGAAATTGCCCAAAATTTGCTAGAGTCACTAACTTACTGTGACATTGATCCAGAGTTTAACATAGTTAATAATAATATAGATGTAAATCCATTCTCCTTTAATGAGTTCTGTAATGTAGTAGAGGGAAGAAAAGATAGGGCTACTGGTAAAGATAATATATCTTTCTCGATATTAAATAATCTCCCTAACGTGGCACAACTTAAATTACTGCAATATTATAATTATAGTCTGGAGACTGGTAGTGTTCCTGTACAATGGAAGGAGACTATTGTGGTTCCTATATTAAAAGAAGGTAAAGATCAGGGCTCATTTGAAAATTATAGACCAATTGCATTAACTTCATGTGTAGGTAAAATTTTGGAGAGTATGATTAAGATTCGCTTGGACTGGTTTTTAGAACATAATAAGATCCTTCCAAAATTTCAAATGGGTTTTAGAAGGGAAAGGGGATGTAGTGATGCAATTGCAATCTTGTCACACTCAGTATTAAAAGCTTTTAGTTCAAAAAATCATTTAATTGCAGTATTCATTGATCTTAAAGCGGCATATGATAATGTAGACATCCATATTCTTTATAGGAAAATGTTAGATCTTAATATCCCTTCATATTATACAAATGTAGTTTTCAATTTGCTATATAATAAGAGAATATATGTTAGGGATATGAATTATGAATTAACTGGTCCTGGGTTAAGTAGTAAAGGTCTGGCTCAAGGTTCACCATTGAGCCCCCTTCTATTTAGTATATATATATATATATATATATATATATATATATATATATATATATATATATATATATATATATATATATATATATATACTCGACCAGCGTATCATGTGACATCCAGCAAAAATTTTGACTTTGTGACATCCACCCTTTGCAAAGACTTTAGGAAAAAAATAAAAATATGACTTGTTTTAATTAAAAAAATATTATGGCTGAGCGAAAAATATCACAACCATACACGTTTTAAAAAAATAAAACGTCCTATCGTTGTGAGATCCAAAGTATACACGGTATATATTTTTATTAACAACACTTTGTGACATCCAGAAAAACCTTGCATCTTGTGACATCCAGTTGTTACGTCACAGTATACCATTTCTACAGAAAAACTACCATTCTTATAACATCCAGCAAGTATATAGATACATTTTTAAATTAAGCATCTTATTACATCCTAAACATTTAACACGTTCAGCGCCAAAGCTGACCCTTAAATTCTACGATTTCTTTTGTTGTTTTGTATGTGATAAAATAATTCATTCCATTTTCAAATTATTTTCTTTTTAGTTTTTGATTGTGTATATTTTTAGATATACTGGCCCAAAAAATAGTTTTCGATGAAGTAACTTCTTGATATTTTTTTGATATGTGGAAATCCCTTATAAAGATTCGGTACAGGTTCTCCCTTTCCCAATAGTTTTACCCTTTACCCACTAAAATCACCACCTGAGCAAGTTATCGCCGGCCTCCTGCTAATATCTTTTACATGTTCGTTGGAACTACTTTAAGTATCTATCGACCTTATATGGTTGATTCTCCAGTTTCAAGTGCATTAACACGACCAGTTTGCAAACCTAACCTAACATTACCTAAGAAGTACCCAAAACATAAATCCAGCGGTGTTTATTATTTTTGCGCATAGACTACACTCACCGACTTAAAATTCGATCAATTCAAAATAATGATTTATTTAAAAACGCTCTAATTTTCAAATGCGGAGGCTGATTTATTTGAAGTTTTTAGCAGCTTTTAGATAAAATACTGTAGTATTAACATTATTATTCGGACATCTAAAAGTAATTTAGTACTCGCCGGATATACAGGGGGGAAAAGAAAACAATTTTTTTGCTCTACTTTTGACACACTCTGTAGGTTAATTCTGCTAGCAGATCTGCACACAATTAACTTTATCAAGAAGACTGATTTGTTTCCAACATTTTGTTTTTTTATTTACTCCGATATCTTATATAATTTGTTTGTGAAATGTTATGATTTAAAGAAAATGCAACATTCTTAATTTTTTTATTCAGTTTTAGCAGAGTAATACATAATTTTATAAACAACTCAAACAACAAATAAACTAATAATTATTACAAATTAATAACGGGTATTTTCCCCACGAGCGCGAATAACTGCCTCAATGCGTCATGGCATACCCACTATTAGATATCGAATC